AGAACTATTTGCCACATGGCGCATCACCCCAAACCATAGCTGCAAAGATCACTGATTTAATAATTACTTTGTTTGTATACTTGGCTATTATCAATAATAGCAATTGAGACAAAAGAGACTTTTAAATCTTCCACATTATGGTCTGGTATGCAGTAATTATATTACACCCTAAAGTTCTTGATCTCATAATGATGAATCTACTCAAACATATCTCACCCAGATTTTTCTTAATTCCAAGGTGTTTCAAATGAAGAATATGCTAAATTAATATGTCCTAAACAATCAACTGAATGAACACAGTTGACAGAGACAGGCTTATCATCTCTTGACAAAGACTTGATCAACACAACAGGACGATGGAAGCACATGCCAGAGAATTGCAGCGACACTAACTCACATGGGAATGCAGTGAGTCCATCTCTGAAGTAATTTCTGCAGGAAATCTTGGTATAGTCTGTTACTGGGAATCTCCACCGCTCATCTTACAACACTCTCACTTCTGTTTTATCTCCTCTGATTTCCTCTCCTTCATCTTCCTTCCATCTTCCTCCACCACTAACTTCCTCCACTTCCCCGGTTATCTATCTCCATCTTCTCCATCTTCTTCATCTCTCCTCCCACATGTCTGACACGCAGCGCAGGTAAGAGCACACATCTGATATCTCTTGACGCACTGTCACTGCCTTGACGCTGATCTCACCTACCGCTGTACGGTAACGCTTATGAAGGCCCGCTAGCAGTCACCTCGCTTGTTTCGTTCACACGTTTGTTAGAGGTTTGTCGCCACGCTACGTTATTTGGCACGTCGATGATTATAAGACGCTGATGACGCTGACAGCTCGCCTGCTCCTCACAGTTCAGCTTTTCACCGCGTCATTTTGCTTGTTTTGACGCCGCCGTTCTGAAGAACCCGCAGTGAGCCGCAACGCCTCAAATTTATTTCAACCGACGATCACGCCGCCTTTATCGGTGATATAACCGGTTGTCAAGAAGCTCGCGAGAGCCGCGATCAGCGACTTTGATGCAGCCAGAAAGCCCCTGATGGCATTTAGTGCCCATGCCATCTGACATAATGCAGAACTGGAATGAGAATTGAACACAGATGAGTGTTCATTTGCTTGGATGAGACCTCTAGCACGCCCGCCATGTGGATCCCCGCCTCAGCCAGACTGGTTCACTGCAACATCAGTGATCGCCCACTGCATGCAGAATGAGCTGCTTTTTACCAGGCCATTAATAATAGCTCACGTCCTGGGTGCATGAAACCTGTTCCATGGCTTGGGTCAAAAATTTGGGGGTGTTATGGGTGTTCTAGGGGATCGCGGAAGGAATGGCGGCTGGATCTGGCCAGCGGTGGCGGAAAAGTGAATACCGCCTGACACTTCGCAATGGCGAGCAGCAAAGCCGTATAGGCCATCTGTGGGGCTCAGCACACTGACGGCCTTCTGTGGTTTCAGAACATCGCCAACACTGTCTCTAGCCGCGAAACAGGCTCAGCGGCATCTGATGCTGCGTCATCGCTATCCAGCCCCAGCCGACGTTGATGACTATCTCACCAATTTACCTTCTGCACAGAGAATCTTATGTCGATATTAAGAGCCCGTTAGATTAGGCGGTGAGAATGGCACGGGCCGGACTTCCTGGAAGACCACCGCCTTGATGTCGCCGCCGCCACGCCAGTGGCCAGATATTGCCAAGATCACTGCGCCGCGATGGTCTTCAGTTGACGCCGTTTTCATGATGGCTCAGCGATGTTTACGCTTTCGAGGATGTCATGAGCTGACCGCCGATGATTTGGTCAAAGATAACGCTCTCGAGATTTGTTCGAGCATTTTTTCTGATGGCTCATGAGCTACCGCCTTGAGATGTTTGAGCGACGTTTGATATTGTTTACAGCTGACTCAATGCTTCTTCTTCTGTCGGTCTCCTCTGAGCATCCTCCTCTCCGCCAGCCTCCAGAGCTGGTCCTTCTTCTGCTGAGGACATGAGAGGTGTCCCTTGAGCGCCCTTCCTGTCGTGAATGATATGAAATGATTTAAGCGTCTTCCAAAAGAGTGTCCCCACCACGCCCTGGTGAGAATATCGCCGCACGCCGACGATACGTCGCCACGAAATGATGTGCCAGCCGCCAAAATGGCGCCGCTGCCGCCAAAATGGCGTTTCGCCAGCTGACAAGATGGCGGAAACAGTCGCCATTAAGATGGCGAAACAGTCGCTGAAGATGAGCAGCCAATGCGGCTCAGCCGCACAGCGGTCGCCAGTCAAGCATAAGATGGCGGCTCAGCCAGACAGCACTTTGGCTGGTCTCCTGCCTGATTGCTGACGGCGGAACACATCTGACTGCTGATCAGACTTTTTACTTGAGGTTTCTGGGGATGTTGGTGTGGTGGCTGCTAGTTACACGACATTTCGTGATGCACTTTGTTTGATGCTTTACCACGGCTGGGTCACCAACACGGAGGCGCTAGCAAGCTCCACCAGCTTACTGCTTTCTGTCACACAGCTTGCCAGAGGTGAAGTGCTTGTCGTTATCTGCCGCCCAGGCTGATGACGATAATGACTGGTTGTTTTTGATGGCATCTGGCCCACTTCACAGCTCCAGCTTTTCTTCCGCTTACGGTTGTTACGTTGTTGTTACCCAGTGATTACTGGCTTCAGAATGGCTTTCAACACATTCACGCCGGCTTAGACAATTATCTTAACTGCTCACAGTATTATTAACTCACGACAAGGTCCTTTAGTGAGAGTGCATATGGCTGACGGCCTCTGTCGGTCATCCCTGAATTTTAGCTTTCTGTGAACTTCTGGTTACCCAGTTACTTGTTTCCGCCGAAAAATGACGTAAACAGGACTCCACTGCCACTGTGGAGAAATTGATTTCTGCCACGTGACCATTGTAAATGCTTAACTATTACCAGGTCATACAAAATATAACTTTCAGTAACTGTCGACAGATTTATTTCTAGTCCCACAGACTATTGACACATTTCAGTAAACTGATTCAGTATCTCCTGTCTTGACATAACTTCCTCCCCGCGCTTCAACCCAACCATAGATCTGTGGCTTCGCATCTCTTGATGAGACATCTCCTGATGTTTGGCTCAGCATCCTCGTCGACCCATTGGAATCCACCATTTGCCTCTTATCCACTGAAGTGTCCGCCTTTATGAAGCCTCTTATCCTGGAGATGATAGATAGCTGAGACTCAAGACTGAGATTCAACATCAACCACGCCCTCTGGTCTCTCTGATGAGTGGCTGCGCTGGCAGTTTTTCACTGTGAGTCTTTTAGGAGTCAACAGAAATAATGACCGGATTTTCAGATTTGTATTGAATAATTATTGCATTGATACCCTGCTCCACAGGTGTTCATGGTCGTTCAGCCAGGTCAATGATTGGCAGTCCATACCTGGCTATTGGACAGGCTGGGAGCCTCGAGCACCCAGGGAAACCACTGGAGCGGATTGAATATCTTATGGTAGGATGGAGACACAAGATGGAAGAACAGTTCCGCCTCACCAGTGACACTTCAAGCAACACATTGCTTTTTTAAAGGCCAGAGTTTGCAGACCAGCTGCATAGCCATTGCGCTCGAGACCCACAGTGACATAAACCGAGCTACCACCACTAGCAGCCAGTTCTCCCATGTTCAGCTGAATTTATATTTGTCTACAGAAAGGGGGCAACTACACCGTTGGCATTTACAAATAAACATTCTGATTTACTGACCTGTGATGTTCACTACATTAAGTTTTCTGAGATTAATTTCTGAACCAAAGTATCAAAATAGCTCAACTAATTACAATATCATCAATGCTCCAACTGTTAGTGACACTGATCACAGATGAAGTTAAGACCATAGCAACATTTGGGTGGGATAGTGAATGGTGATATTTGTCAAATGCAGTGGCCTGAGATTCAAGCTCCACTGGCAACATTTGGCTCACAGAATGCACTGGAGTCAACACCGCAGATATAGAGCGCACATAGTTCAGGTGACTGAACACAAGAGGTATCAGATTACATCAGCCAAACCAGTATGGCATGTGGCTATGACGTCGCCAACGTAAACCCACTCTGTCTTCTGCACCTGTTTCAAACAGTCCCCCTGAGTCTCGGGAGAGTGGACACCAGATCAGCACAACATGCCCGCCTGCTGGAGCCCGCTGGCAGCTGCCGGTTACAATATAAAATGCCTTTGTATAAATCTATATTTGTTGCTTCAGAGCTGGCATGATTATGACATAATGTATTGTTACCATTCATGACTGTCCAGTTGAATAATTCACTGACCATTTGTAGCAGTTCGGCACACTGCTATTGCACAGTTTACCTGACAGCACAGCAGGGTCCCAGCTGACAATATTGGTGTGGAGTTACAGCAAGATTCACTGAACAAGTTCAGCTCACAGTTGATATCGTAACACCGCTACTTTGAACAGGGCAGAATCTCACAGCTGAAGACAGCGCTTTGCACACACAGTCAGAGTCAAGATATAAACTGTTCTGAGACTCCAGCATGGCACCCGGACTTTAGTGCTTGCAGAGTTTGAGTTACATGTAGCTAGTCAGAGGGGGTTGTCTGGTTGCTGTTCTTTGCTTTTTAGATTGATGAACAATTTTTATGTGGTATGTGGCATAATTTTGAAACATGAGAGCATAAAATACACAACATATCCCAAAATGGTTGTATTGATTTTACAGTATGATCATTTTTCCCAACAAGATCACAGATGCAGCAAATATGTTTTTTGGGGAAAAACAACAAGGACATTTGTTAAGTCATATCAACATAACAGTCACAGTTAAGGGAAGGTCGGACACAAACGCGGAGCTCGAGAAAAACATTCATTTTATTCATTTAAAAACATTGAATTGTTAGCAACCAATGACTCACATGCACTTGGCGTTAACAATAATCTACCCACAGTTGGAAAATAGGGTCCCTAATTAGAGGCAACACAGAGCAGCTGCTTTTGACTGGGGAAAACATTAACATTAGGAGCAGTTGGTAGCTCAGTGGTAGAGTGCATGCTTAGTGTGTACGACGTTCTGGGTTTAAATTCCAGCTGCTCCCCAAGTTGCTGTTGCAAATGAGAAATTGTTCTCAATTGGCCTATCTGGTTAAAACATTTTTTTTTACTTAATTAAGTCCTAGAGGCCTCTGGCCCTGATAATCATCACCAGACACCCATAGATGGGTTTTATATTCTCTTTGGTACTGTTATCAATAGTATGGAGCAGGGTTTAAAACTCTTAGTAACAAACTCCAAGTTGATCATACTTGTAAAATCAATACAATATTGCATTTTTTGGAATATGTTGTGTATTTTGTACTCTCTGTTTCAAAATTATGCCACATACTTACATAAAAATTGTTCTAAAGTGTCTAAAAACTTAAAGAACAGACTGTGACTTTATCGCCCCCTCCTGATAGCTACATGTAACTCAAACTCTATAAGCACTAAGTCAGTTTTTGTACAGGTCTGGGGCTGGTTTGTATCACTGTGACTCTCTGGCACAATAATATACAGCTGTGTCTTCAGCTTGTAAGTTCTGCCCTGTTAAAGTAGCGGTGTTGCTGGATGAATCAACTGTGAGGCTGAACTTGTTCTTCAGTGAATCTTTATATATTGTGCTTCCACCACTGTGTATCATTCCAATCCACTCCAGTGTTTTCCCTGCTGGTTGTCGAATCCAAGCTGTGTAATAGCCAGTGTACGAGACCTTACAGGAAATGGTCAGTGGTTGACCTGGCTGGACAGTCATAGATGGTGGCTGAGTGAGTTCTTCACAGTGAACATCTGTGGACAAAGGATGTATAATGTTGCTTAATACAAACAGCAAATATAGATTTATACAAAACATTTTATATTATTACTTTCTACCCCCCTATATGCACACAGACTAACCGGAGACAGCTGCCAGCAGAATTAGCAGAAATGCAGACAACATGATTTATGTTAATGCTGATCTGGTGTCAGCTGCTCTTCTCTACTCTCCAGGACTCAGGGGACATCTAACAGACACTGTTTAAGTAGGTACAGAACTAGAGTAGATTTGCATTGACGTAGACTAGATATCAGAGCGTCTATACGAGGAACTGCAGGAGGATAAACACTATTACTGGACACAACAGATGTAATCTGAATACCCTCTATATGTAATCTGAATACCCTCATTATGTTATCTCTTATCTCTATGATCAATGTACAACTCCAGGTGTGCATTCTAATGGTAAAAACTGGATATTTCACCAGTGGGCCAGAATATAAATTATACATTTGACCAAATATCACCATTCACTGTCCACCCAAATGATTCTACATGGAGTCTTAACTTCATCTCATGAATCCGTATATAATAGATTAGGACGTGATAATATTGTAGTGGATTGAGAATATTGTTTTACATTGCCTGGTTAAAATTAGTAATCTCAGGAACAAACTTAATGTAGTAGACATCACAGGTCAATTAAATCAAGAATGTTTTATTTGTAAATACCAGCAGTCTTGGATTGCCCCCTTCTGGTAGACAAATATAAATTCAACTGAACATGGGAGAAGTCAGTTTTGGTACTAGTGTGGTGCTGGTTTGTATCACTGTGGGTCTCGAGCACAATAATATACAGCTGTGTCTTCAGTCTGCAAACTCTGGCCTTTTAAAAACAATGTGTTGCTTGAAGTGTCACTAGTGAAGCTGAACTTGTTCTTCAGTGAATCTTTATATCTTGTGTCTCCATCACTGCCATAAATATTCCCAATCCACTCCAGTGGTTTCCCTGTAGGTTGTCGAATCCAACCTGTCCAATAGCCAGAGTATGAGACCTTACAGGAAATGGTCAGTGGTTGACCTGGCTGGACAGTCATAGATGGTGGCTGAGTGAGTTCTTGACCATGAACACCTGTAGACAAAGGATGTATAATGTTATCCAATACAATAATTATTCAATACAAATCTGAAAATCCATCGGTCATTATTTCTGTTTGATACAAAGACTCACAGTGAAAAGCTGCCAGAAGAAGCATTATTAGAGAAACAGAGAACATGGTTGATGTTGAATCTGATCTGGTGTCAGCTGCTCTTCTCTACTCTCCAGGACTCAGAAGGCTTCTAAAGACGGACACTTTAAATAGGGATAGAACTTAATGGTGGATTTGCATTGACGTAAACTAGAGAGATGCTGGGTGACATCAGAGTGTCTATAAGAGATACAGCCGGAGCATTATTACTGTTAGTTGGAGAGCCTTTAAGGAGGAGGAGTTATATAGAGACAGGAATACTGAATGTTTTACTAAATGCCATCTCTGTAGTCTCTGTAGTTCAAAGCAAATCATGGAAAAAACATGAACAGTTTACTGAAAGTTATATTTTTGTATGACCTAGTAATAGTTAAGCTGTGCTACAATAGTCACATTAATCAGAAATCAGATAACATTTGGTGCGTAGCCTGTTTGATGTGAATCATTGCAATGATTTTCTCCACAATTTGTAATTAAGGTCCTGTTTCATCATTTTTCCAAGCGGGCTCAAAACAGCAAATGGCAAAAGATTCCCGAAGCTAAAGGTGGGACAACCAACCGAGCCCGTAAACACCTGCCTCTGCTTGGGACCTTGTCAAGGTACATAGTTAATAGCTCCCTGTTGAACGGTTAAAGGATGGTGTCACAAACAGAGCGGCGTAGTGTGGTTGAAGCCATTTGCAGAGCCAGTAATCCGTTATGACACAGGTTTATTTAAACAGCAACGTAAAACAAACCGTAAACGGTGAAAAAGGCTAAACTGTTGAAAATTAAACAAACTATGCGCATATAGCGTCTTATAATATAACATACAAACAGCAGTAGACAACGACAAACACTCACCTCTAACTAAACTGTGTGACAAGAAACAATGCTAAGCAAGGAGTGACTTGCTAGCGACCCCTTTATATCCCCCGTGATTACAATGACCAACAGCCGTGAGACAAAACGTAAACAAGGAAGTGCATCACCGAAATATGTCCGTGTAGCAACGCCACCACACCAATCGTGACAGTATCCCCCACTAAAAGGCTAGCTCCCCAGATAGCCGAACGGAACCACAAAAACAAAAGGGAGCAACAGGGAGAGAACCCACAGTCAAACCCAAAAGGGTCAGTCCAGGACCGCAGGTCCAGCCCTGAATAGGCCTCGGTGGGCCGACCGCCATCTTGTGCGGCCGAGAGGCCGCCATCTTGTGCGGCCGAGAGGCCGCCATCTTGTGCGGCTGAGAGGCCGCCATCTTGTGCGGCTGAGAGGCCGCCATTTTGAGAGGCTGAGAGGCCGCCATCTTGTGCGGCTGAGAGGCCGCCATCTTGTGCGGCTGAGAGGCCGCCATCTTGTGCGGCTGAGAGGCCGCCATTTTGAGCGGCTGAGAGGCCGCCATTTTGAGCGGCTGAGGGAGCATCGTGGCGGCGGCCATCGTGGGCGACGTGGCGGCGGCCATTCACGGACATGGTGGGACCTCACTTTTGGGGAGGAACCGCTTGTCTGGGCTTTCTGTCGGCAGGGAGAGGGAACACTCCGGGACCTCTGTCGACAGGGAGAGGGGACACTCCTGGAGGCCAGGCGGAGGGAGGAGGGGACACTCCGGGAGACCAGGCGGAGGAAGAAGGGGCGTCGGCGTCGCTGCGGCCATCTCGGGCGTCGCTGCGGCCATCTCGGGCGTCGCTGCGGCCATCTCGGGCGTCGCTGCGGCCATCTCGGGCGTCGCTGCGGCCATCTCGGGCGTCGCTGCGGCCATCTCGGGCGCAGGCGTAGCTGAGGCCATCTCGGGCGCAGGCGTAGCTGAGGCCATCACGGGCGCAGGCGTTGCGGCGACCATCACGGGCACTGGCGTGGCGGCGGCGGCCATCTCGGGCGTCAGGTCTTGGAAGTCCAGCCATGCCTTCCACCACGCCCTAATTACAGCCGGGGGCTGCTTATGTAAACCCTCCGGGGATTTCTCTGTCCCAGAGGTAGGTGGTCGGAATGGGTCCTCATCCAGCTGGAGCTGGGATGGTGGCTGTAGCTCCAGGGCTCTTGCTGGCCCTGGCTGCAGCCCCGGAACAGTGGGCCGCGTCTTCTGAGGCTCCAGGGCCGTGGGTGGCGCTGGACCCACAGGTGGCTTCACCCGGCACTTCCCTCTTGGCACCGGGTGTGGATGGTGTTCTTTCCCCACCTGCTGGCTGGGTCCAGCGCGTTGGTTCTCCTTCACGATCCCCCTAGAATACCCCTCTAGCACCCCCCCAAATTTTTTATTGGGAACATTCGGGGTGCTCCATAGAACAGTTCTTTGGAGGACCGTGAACTCGTTGTGGCTAGCCCTGGTAGCCTCTTCTGCCCGCCCCAGCCGACGTCTGATGTTACCGTGACAAGTCGACTGAGGACGGGATCCCATAGCAGGGCGTCTTCCAGGGAGTCCTCCTCCACTCTCTCGTAGACCGCCTCGTCATCATCCGATGAGAGGGAGTCGGACCCCCAATCACCCTGCCAGGTGTAGTGCCGTTCACATTGCTCCGTGGGGTGACGTGAGCTTCATACCTCGGAGCGCTATAGCTTGCCCCTCCGAGGAATCCACTCACCGTCCGGCTCTGCGGGCTTCTTGGGCGGCTTAGCATTCTGTCACAAACAGAGCGGCGTAGTGTGGTTGAAGCCATTTGCAGAGCCGTTTTGACACAGGTTTATTTAAACAGCAACGTAAAACAAACCGTAAACGGTGAAAAAGGCTAAACTGTTGAAAATGAAACAAACTATGCGCATATAGCGTCTTATAATATAACATACAAACAACAGCAGTAGACAACGACAAACACTCACCTCTAACTAAACTGTGTGACAAGAAACAATGCTAAGCAAGGAGTGACTTGCTAGCGACCCCTTTATATCCCCCGTGATTACAATTACAAACAGCCGTGAGACAAACGTAAACAAGGAAGTGAAACAAGGAAGTGCATCACCGAAATATGTCCGTGTAGCAACACCACCACACCAATCGTGACAGATGGAGGAAGATGAAAGAAGATGGAGGAAGATGGAGATAGATGGCCAGGAGATAGAAGAAGATGGAGGAAGTTGG